CACAAAAAGATGGGCGGTAAGAAGGGACAACGTCAAGATGGGAGACACGACTCCCCACCACATTCTCCTCCACCGGGCGCAGACTCTCATCCTCCACCTCCAGTGACGGACATTGCCACAATTCTGAGGTGGATGGACGACCGGGACGAGCGACGTAGAGAGTTGGAACTTCAGAGGGAGGAGACACGAAGAGAGGAGGAAAAGTTGCGTTTTGAGGCGCTATTGGCGACCCTGGCGCTAACCCACCCTCCCTCACTCGCAGGTAGCGCGCATGAAGGCGCCAATATCCTCCCTCCTCCACCACACCAGCGTCCTCCAGGTACTCTTGCCTCCAAACAAACAGCTCCCAAGGCATCTGTTCAACCCCCACCCGCCCTCTCACCAGACGTCACGTTTCAGCTTTTTCGTGAGTGGAGGCGGCGTTGGACAGATTACTCCACGATGGTGGACCTTGACAGCATGCCTCCAAACAAACAGCTCATCCAACTGCGGATGTGTTTGTCGCTGGAGACGCAGAGAGTTTTGGAGCACACGTTGCAAGTGCCTCCCGATTCTACCTCTTCAGTGACGGATGTGCTCGACCTCTTACAGGAGCATGTTAAGGGTCGGAATAACAAGGCTTTGCGTCGCCACGCCTTCACCAGCTGCAAGCAGGCGGAGAATGAATCCTTTGACGACTTTTTTGTACGCTTGAAGAGTTTGTCGGAGGAGATCGACGTCTGCAAGGCGCACAGCCGGGAATGTGAGGAAGCCTGGATCAAGCACGGGATCTTGACAGGTGTCAGGCAAGAAGAGTTGGTGCAGCGACTCATCCCCCTGGACGCTTCCTCCACACTCCAGGTTGTAGTAACTGAATGTCGGTCATACGAGGCCACCAAGTCCGCCACCTCTGCCTTACGGGCCCCACCTGCTGTGAGAGCTATCTCACAATACAAGAAGGGTAAGAAGGCGGCCAACAACGTGAAGGCTGTCACACGTTCTTCCACGCCTCCGCCTAGTGCTTCCTGTGGCAGCTGTGGAAAGCACCATGGCCACAAGACATGCCCGGCCGCCGACGCACTGTGTCGTGGATGTGACCGTAAGGGCCACTGGTCTAACACAGACAGGTGCCCTGCATGAGGCCGCAAGTGTCAGGCCTGCGGTCGCTATGGACACTACGACAAGTGCTGCCGCCAACCCAAGCCCAAAAGCCCGAGACGAGGAGGAAAGCAGCGCACTTCCCTCGGGGTGGTTCGCACGCAGCCCCCTCCAGATGGCCCACGCAGCCCCAAACAGCAGCGGAGTCACATCAGGAGGGTGGAATCGACCACACGCCCCTTCCTCTACCATCCGCGTCGCCGTCACACACGGTGATGTGTCGGGTCACATCGAGGTGATACCGGACACCGGCGCTGATACTACGGTGATTGGGTTGAAGCACCTCCAGAAACTGGGCCTCACCAAACGTGACCTGGGACCACCGCCGCAGCTGCTGTACTACAATGCGGACGGTTCCCAGATGCCGGACGCTGTGGGCTCCTTTCAAGCGGAGATCACTTACGGCGACAGGTCGTGTCACGGATGGATCGACGTGCAGCCTACTCTCGCTACACCCTTGTTGTCGTGGGAGCACCTCAAGGAGTTATGCGTGGTGCCCAGAGACTTTCCTGAGCAGATCCCAGCTGCTCGTTACACCGCCAGCAGGGTGCGTGAGTCAACGAGCGACGCGCCTGGCGCTGCCACACAGAGCTGCCCAGAACCCGCGTCCACTCCCACCCACACAGGACGCTCCCCTGCCCAGATCCTGTATGGTCACCCTCTCCGCTCTTGCGTTCCTGCACACACCAAGGCCTTTGCGAAGGACTGGCAGACCAGAGCCGAGAGCTGCGACCGCCGCGCCGCTACACTTGCCCAGGACGCCAAGGCTCGGTATGACGACCGTGCCCACCCTCTTCAGCCAGTGGAGATTGGTGCCCTTGTCCGCCTCCAGGACCCGACGACGACACGTTGGGACAAGGTGGGCATAGTGATGGGCGTCGGCCGGTCGCGGGACTACAAGGTCAGGATGCCGAGCGGCCGTGTCTGGTGGAGGAACCGCCGCTTCCTCCGGCCAGTCCCACCCCCTGCTGCTGGCCCCCTGACCTACACCTCACGAGGATCCGCCCCACAGTGCACCTCGACGCTCGGAGCGACTTAGGACTAAGAAGTCCGCTCAAGACAAAGACTATGAGGGGGAGGGAGATGTAGGTTATGCATCTAAGCTACTGTGCCGAGTAGCAACCTTGTAAATAAGCTACCTTGCCGAGTAGCATTTATATATATAATTACGTGGCAACATTGCCCCGAGGCTGCCATATGGCAAGGCAGTCTCAGTCTGACTGTGTGAGCCGTGCATGGCACACGCTAGTCACCACTTGTATTTCTCTCATCCATAATAAACGGACTTCAGTGTTACCCGGTGTTTCCCTACCCATCACTGCATTCTTCAGGGAACACATGTAACCATCAGACAACAGGAATATGTTAACACATTATGTTTTCTCTCTTGAGTGCACAAGTCCATTACAAATCACTAGCACATCATTTATCTTACAGTTACAAAAGAAGTCTTTTGTACCTGTATATTGGAATATTATTCTGAACTTTACATTACCAGTCATGAGGATTAAAAGAGAAAATTAAACATATGAATTGAAACATTAGCCAGTTAAGGCCTATACAGTACAGTGTGTCACTTACAAAAATTTCAGACAAAAATATGATATGAATTTACAAATCCAAATACAGTATATTTCAAAGTCAGATAAGAGGTGTTTACTTGAGGCAAAAACGTTAAATTAAATAAAACTAATACTCTGTGGAATTAGCGCTACAAAAATGAAACTTAAAATTATCCCAACTGATATAAAGGAACAATTTTATGAACCATAAATTGAACATTTCAAAGACTATTTTAGATAACAAAAAGCCTTATTCGGGCCCACCCAGGTCAGTGTCTTATAGGAGGTCCGTGAGGAAAGTGACGTAACGCGGTGCCTCAGGAGGTGCCCTCTTCCCATACATCCTCCCCCTCACTTCGTGCCCTATAAGTCCTCCCCCTATACTCCCACCCGCTAGTGGAGGGGAGGGGGTGGCCGCACGTACTAAACAAAGCACGGATGTCTTGAGACGTCATGTTGGCTGAGTAGAAATAGCACGCAATAACAAGTATGAGGAAAAAGCTAACACTACAGTCCACGGTGACCAGGAAAAACCTGCTTGAATCCTCAGTGTGGCGTCTCTGTTCCTTCATGAAGACAAGGGATGTGCTTACGTGTATCCTCCTACCTGTAGTGAGGACGAGGGATGTGCTCAAGTGTGTCATGCGATCTGTGGCAAGGGCGAGGGATGTGCTCACGTGTGTCCTAACTGTAGTGAGGAGGAGAGATGTGCTGTCCTATGCTATACTAACTGTGGTGAGAACGAGGGATGTGCTCACGTGTGATCTCCAAACTGTGCTGAGGACGAAGGATGTGCTAACGTGTGTCCTAACTGTAGTGAGAACGAGGGATGTGCTCACGTGTTTCCTAATTGTGCTGAGGACGAGGGATGTGCTTACGTATGTTCTAAGTGTGATTTGGACGAGGGATGTGGTCACGTGTGTCCTAACTGTGGTGAGGACGAGGGATGTGCTCTCCTCTCTCCTGCTAACTGTGGTGAGGAGAGGGATGTGCTCACGTGTCCTCCTATCTGTGGTGAGGAGAGAGATGTGCTCACGTATCCTGCTAACTGTGGTGAGGAAGAGAGATGTGCTTACGCGTCCTCCTATCTGTGGTGAGGAAGAGGGATGCGCTCACGTATCCTGCTAACTGTGGTGAGGAGAGAGATGTGCTCACGTGTGTCCTCCTAATTGTGGTGAGGACGAGGGATGTGCTTACGTGTCCTCCTATCTGTGGTGAGGAAGAGGGATGTGCGTACGTGTCCTCCTATCTGTGGTGAGGAAGAGGGATGTGCTTACGTGTCCTCCTATCTGTGGTGAGGAAGAGGGATTTGCTCACGTGTCCTGCTAACTGTGGTGAGGAGAGAGATGTGGTCACCTGTGTCCTCCTAACTATGATGTAGACGAGGGATGTGCTTACCTGTGTCATCCTGACTGTGGTGAGAACTAGAGATGTGTTTTCGTATGTCCTAACTGTGGCTCAGATGGTCTACGTCATCCTGGCTCCCTTACTCTTATCATCCAAGTAAAGTGTCGTGGTAAAGTTTGTCTTGATGAGTGTATACAAATCGTCGTGCAGGGATTACTTGTAAAAATAAAGATGATAATATCTACTGTGAGCGATGCGAATAAATGTGAATGTTGGGAAAACTAAAGACAATTTCTGTACGTTGATTTGGTATATTTATATGTGGGTCTTGAAAATGGGGAACACTATTAATTGATTCTTAACTAAAAACTTCCTGTCTATTGTTTACTTTTCTATAATATCGTTGTTGTTTTCTGAATGTTCAATTATTTCCACAACAGGACCCTGGCAGGAAATAGTGATATATGATTACAGCAACACAAAGGTCATGTTTTCGCATCTTGCAATAGACTTCACTCCTCACACAGGGATTTGGTTTAGAGTTGGTGCACATCAATAGTGTAACGCAACTTACTATTATGTAACGCCTTCAAAAGAGAGAGAGAGAGAGAGAGAGAGAGAGAGAGAGAGAGAGAGAGAGAGGTCGTTGTGGATTTGTGACTCCTGAACACACTGTCCTCGTTACGCTCCAGGGCGGACAGAGTGAGTGGGAGGAACAATATCTCAGGTTCAGCCCCAAGGAATATTATTGTGTGGAGGAGACACTAATGCGGGTATGTGAAGTGTAGAAATAAAAGCAGTGGTCACCAGGAGTTAGGCAGACAGAGGTTGGAACACTTACCGATATCCGCTGGAGCTCCTATCCAACACCTACCACTGCCACCACTCACTACCACCCGCCACTACCACCACACCACTCACCCTGTATACACCACACTAAACCACCACGTCACAATGAACACAGGTATGGGGAGGTCGATATGTATGTGGGTGACAGTCACAATGTTCACCCACACTACTGAACAAACACCATCTGTCCTTTACTCCACGTCTGCCACGCCTCCTGCCGTCCATGCTCAGCAGCACTACGGCGGGCATATGAGGAACCCACTAGTGAGAGACTACTACCCCATCGAGTGGAGGGTGATAGCTGGTGAGTTACCCTTCAGTACCTTGGTTTGTTAATGCAGTTATGAACGCTCTTGTTGGCGTCTCAAGTTCAATATCATTCTAGTATCTCATTATAATTTATATTTAATTATGGTAATCAAACTCACATTACAAGACGTATATTCTGGCTATGATTTCTAAGATATCATTAACGTTACGTTATGTTCACTTTTTACCGGAATTCTTTAACACGTTTTATCTCTACTATGCTTATAGATTTATAACAACACTTGTACTGGTAGTCACAATAGCATCCTCGTGGCTCCTTACACGATAGTTTACTTCTTACTGTGTGTGTGTGTGTGTGTGTGAAGCTGTTGTGTCGCCAGGGATGTAATTATCACAATCACTCATCAATTTTATGAGTGAAATATTTGTTGTCTTCTTACAGAGGAACGCTCGCTACACCCAGTCAACCTGACCGAGCTGGAGGTCGTACGAGGTCAGTTGTGTTGTCTCCTTAATGACTCCTGTCCTAAAATTTGATGACCAGAACTCCTCCCCACCAATATCTACTGTGATAATCCTTAACTTTATAATATAGAACACACATTGTATTTACGCGGGACAATCAAACACTGCCTCATACTCCCTCACTACCTCATACTCCCTCACTACCTCATACTCCCTCTCTACCTCATACTCCCTCACTACCTCATACTCCCTCACTACCTCATACTCCCTCACTACCTCATACTCCCTCACTACCTCATACTCCCTCACTATCTCATACTCCCTCTCTACCTCATACTCCCTCACTACCTCATACTCCCTCTCTACCTCATACTCCCTCTCTACCTCATACTCCCTCACTACCTCATACTCCCTCACTACCTCATACTCCTCTCTACCTCCCTTCTCCCTACCTCTACTCCCTCTCTACCTCCCTCCCCCTCTCTCCCTCTCTGCCCTCCCTACCTCATACTCCTCTCCCTCTCCTACCATCATGCTCCCCTCATACTTCACCTCCTCACACTCCCCCATACTCCTCATTTCCCCATACTCCCCTCCCTCTTACTCCCACACACTTCCTCTACTCCCCTCCTCATTTCCTCATACTCCCCCACTTCCTCATACTCCCACACTCCACTCTTGCTTCTACATCCTTCATATTCCCTCATTTCCTCATACTCCCACTCCTGTCACTTCCTCCTTTTCTCACTTCCCCATACTCCCCACCTCCATCTTAACATTCTAATGTCCCACACACTCCCCTCTGTACCTCACTTCCCCTTCTCCCTTTCCCATACTCCATCCTATTTATATTTTAATACTCCCACACACTCCCTCATATTACCTCACTTCCTCATACTCCCACACTTCCCCATACTCCCACACTCCATCCATTTAACCTTATTCCTAATACTCCCACACACTCCCTCATATTACCTCACTTCCTCATACTCCCACACTTCCCCATACTCCCACACTCCATCCATTTAACCTTATTCCTAATACTCCCACACTCTCTCCTACTCACATACCCCCTCTTACTTCCACACTGCCTCATACTCCCACACTCCCTTATACTCGTACAAACCCTCATACTCATACACTCCCACATACACACACCCCCACATACACACACTCCCTCCTCTACCAACTCACCTGCGGGTTTAGAGGAGTTACACAGGTTTACAAATTAACAATGATTTAGGCTGATGTATTTCACGATTTAAGCTGAGTATTTACACGATCAGTTACCACGTATGGTGGTCGAGCACGCTTCGGATCAGTGGCGAAGCATGGGGTCGGAGCAGGGTACTAACCACTGTTTATTGGACTGTGTGTTTACACGGAACTGCCACATTGTCGTTACCGGTCAGTGTGTGGTAGACTGATGGGCAAGAGGTTCATGGCTCCCAGACAGACGAGTCGGCGAAGGACGGCCGCACTGTTGTGTGTTTTGGCCGCCTGGACGATACTGAAGAAAAAAACAAGAAAACGGACTTCGGTACATATACGTCGTCTGCACAAGCCCCAGACTTCTTCGATGCGGCTTCTTTCTGTACTGACTGCGTAATGTGTTTATTTTCTTCTTGACAATATCAAGTGTGCACATAGGATTTACATTTTCCACATAATTATACAGTTCCCCATAAACTTCTTTCTTTTCTGTTTCTGTATCCACCACTTCTGACGGGTCATAGACATGGCCGGTCCCTATACAATTCAATAAGTTGTATCGTTAACGTCTTTGTCCACTCAAATGGTGGCCTTGACTCCTGAGGGTCACTGGTGGGAGGTGTAGGTGACGGCACAACGTCCATCGTTGCTTTAAACTTGCGCGTCTGTGTGGTGTGGCAGGGACCCACGTAGGTGGTCACGCAACTATTAAGCCCCGTCCTCACTATCGGACAGTGACCGTCGGGCACGAGTGATAAGTCGGTCATCTCACACTTTGTGGCAACTTTGATGGGCAAACCAGCGGACAGCCGTGCCCGTAGTTGAGCGAAATCAGCAGACTGCCTGGTGGTATACTCTGCCTCAGATGGGTATCTTCCTTTGTTATGTATGGTTCCACTTTAGCTAGGAGTGTGTAAAAGGCGTTGATATCCATTCTCGTGTAGTTGGTGAAATCACGCTCACTTCCATCTTGTAGTTCACGTAATATCGTCATATGACTTCCCATTACTTCTCTCCTACTTAACCACTCTTTACACCAGATCGTTTTCTGCACTCTGTCCTTACTTTTCTTTTTTTACAAATACAGCAATTAATATGCTAGACAGCGCTATTTTCTTCTTTCCAACTGTATTGCGCATGGTGATACCGCACTCAGGGGCTGCCGACCACTTACTCAGCAGTGTGGACAACATCACATTCATGCCCAACAGACTGTGCCCGGTGAGGACACAGTCCACCAATCACTGTCCGATAGTGTGGACGGGGCTTTAGGCTCCCACACATAACTGCCCGGGAAGGGTTGGTGGTTAAGTGTTGCCGTCTACACGATCACTGCCCGAGCACGGCTTCGTTATCATGCTTCGAAAACATGCTCCGACACTGATCGTGTAAACGAGCCACTAGACATTGTAGATTTTCAAGAACTGAGCTCATTAAGCGCTTTCACTTATATTATACTAGACAAGAGTTAGAACGAGTATAAATAACTTGTATAGTGAGACGCGTCAGCGAGGTCGATCTTCTCCAAAATATAAACTAGAGCCTACGAGCTTAAACTTTTTTTCTTTAGCTTGTGTTATGTTGTGTTTTGTAATGTTCAAATGTATTATTACGCTTTTTAAAACATTAGGAGTTTAAACGCGTAGACGGTTAGTAAATACTACAACAGTCATTAACAATTAAAGATTATGAAAGATACAGTCCTCTTATTGTTGTGGTGCACTGAGGCCATAACTCTACTCCCTAGGGCTGGAGGCTGGCACCTTCCTGCTCCGGGTGGTGATAAACAAACAACAGATCCAGGTGTACAGGGACCACTCTTTGGTAAGTGACGTGGTGTGTGGCACTCTCTCCTGTGTGGTAAGTGACGTGGTGTGTGGCACTCTCACATGTGTGGTAAGTGACTTGGTGTGTGGCACTCTCACATGTGTGGTAAGTGACGTGGTGTGTGGCACTCTCTCCGGTGTGGTTAGTGACGTGGTGTGTGGCACTCTCACATGTGTGGTAAGTGACTTGGTGTGTGGCACTCTCACATGTGTGGTAAGTGACGGGGTGTGTGGCACTCTCACATGTGTGGTAAGTGACGGGGTGTGTGGCACTCTCACCTGTGTGGTAAGTGACGTGGTGTGTGGCACTCCCACATGTGTGTGGTAAGTGACGGGGTGTGTGGCACTCTCACATGTGTGGTAGTGACGGGGTGTGTGGCACTCTCACATGTGTGGCTGGTGACGGGGGTGTGTGCCTCTCATGTGTGGTAAGTGACGGGGTGTGTCAGCACTCTCACATGTGTGGTAGAGTGACAGGGGTGTGTGGCTCTCACATGTGTGTGGTAAGTGACGGGGTGTGTGTGTGTGTAGTGACGGGGTGTGTGGCACTCACAGCATGTGTGGTAAGTGGCAGGGGTGTGTGGCACTCTCACATGTGTGGTAAGTGACGGGGTGTGTGGCACTCTCACATGTGTGGTAGTGACGGGGTGTGTGGCACACTCATGTGTGGTAAGTGACTTGGTGTGGCGCTCTCCCTGTAATTGACGGGGTGTGGCACTCTCACATGTGTGGTTGGCAGCGTGGTGTGTGGCACTCTCACATGTGTGGCCAGTGACAGGGTGTGTAGCACTCTCACACATGTGTGTGTGTGACTTGGTTTGTGGCACTCTCACATGTGTAGTAAGTGTTTCAGGGTGTGTGGCACACTCTCCTGTGTGTGAGTGGCGTGGTGTGTGGCACTCTCTCTCCTGTGTGGTAAATGACGTAGTGTGTGGCACTCTCTCCTGTGTGTGGTAAGTGACGTGGTGTGTGGCACTCTCGCCTGTGTGGTAGAGTGACGTGGTGTGTGGCACTCTCTCCTGTGTGGTAAGTGATAGTGTGTGGCACTCTCACATGTGTGGTAAGTGACGTGGTGTGTGGCACTCTCTCCTGTGTGGTAAGTGACGTCGTGTGTGGCACTCTCTCCTGTGGTAAGTGACGTGGTGTGTGGCACACTCTCCAGTGTGGTAAGTGACGTGGTGTGGCACACTCTCCAGTGTGGTAAGTGACGTGGTGTGTGGCACACTCTCCAGTGTGGTAAGTGACGTGGTGTGTGGCACTCTCTCTTGTGTGGTAAGTGACGTGGTGTGTGGCACACTCTCCAGTGTGGTAAGTGCCGTGGTATGTGACACTCTTTCCTGTGTGGTAAGTGACGTGGTGAAATCGTATCTCAATAATAGTATCTCATGAATATTATTCACCCTAACGTAATTCACCTGCATATTAACCCTAATGCTAAACCTAACTTAACCTAACCTCACAGGTGGCTTTTGGTTGGGTACTCTTCAACTGAAATAATCTTAGGTTTCTAATCTTCAGGTGATCGAAAAAAAGATTATATCCATTGGTGTGGAGTACTGTAAGCCACACCTCTCTATCATCACAGTGTGGCGTACTGTAAGCCATACCTCTCTGTCATCACGGTGTGGAGTACTGTAAGCCACACCTCTCTATCATTACAGTGTGGAGTACTGTAAGCCACACCTATAGTTATATTGGGTTCCTTCAGCCACACGGGACTTGATGAAGGATGTTGCTGGGGGTTTTTTTCATCCCTGTTTCTCCATCCTCCTTCATGTCGAATCTTTCGTTCTCCCTCACATCGCGTCTTCCCTTCCCTACAGGTGTACGAGAAGGAAGATTCCTCTACACAAATGTTCCTCAGTCACTCTGGTATTCACTTGCTGGTGCTTCATCCTACACGAGGAGACGTGATGCTCGCCATGCAGTTCCTCACCCACCAGCCCGCGGAGCACCGCAACCTGGCAGCCTGTCTCCGTACTCTCATGCCTGGCCGTCTCCTAGTGGTAGCTGCTGTGGTCAGTATTACTTCAATTTGAGGGGCCGTTAAACAGATAGGCAGACATACAGAGAGAAAGACATTCGGTTAAATCGGCATATAATTTTACATTTGTTTCTGGAAGTCCTTTAAATAATACCGATATACAGTTCAGCATGTACATAGACAGTAATCCACAACCACACAGGGGCAGGTCATGGCCTCGACGTCTCACGGGAGTACAGGTACTAATACACATCATAACACACACTCTCTCACAGCCCGACGCCGCGACGTTTCTGGCCGAGGATGCCGTGTTGGGTCTGGAGGCTATGGGAGCTTCTAGGATACGTAACCTCGCGGCCTTCGAGGCTTGGGCCATAGTAACCCACACGCCCACCAGTACCCACACGCCCTCCCTACGCGACTACATGCCTTCCCACTCCTACACGTCTTCCAACAACAGAAGTAATAACAGCACTGGTCCTTCAAGACACCCACAGGAAGAAACATCTCCCTCACAGGTCAACAACCAAGAGGTTTTACATACTTATTACTCATATGGTATAATAATCCCCCGACGGTATATAAACTTTGTATAAATAAGCGATAAAGTCTTCAACTCTTCCTCTGCATTTTATATTGGTGTTACAGGAGGTCTCGCGAGGTCGGGTGTGGGGCGAGGCCGTGACCACCATCCGTAGACCAGACGGTATATTCGGTTATCCGCTCAGTATGGATACCCGCGTCCCCAAAGTGTCAGGTAAGTGCTTAGTACTGTTCTATATTTCTCGTTTGGTGACGCGTCTTTTGTGTGTGTATGTGTGTGTGTGTGCGCGTGTGTGTGTGTGTGTGTGTGTGTTTGTGTGTCTGTGTGTGTGTACGCCTCACAGGTTATTCGCGTCTCAAATATCATCACAAAGTTTGCAGACACGACAATTTTCGATAATTATTTGAGATTAAAAAATACTATTTTATCATTGTTTAATTCTCATAATCAAAACACATAGAACGTCAAACTTTGATATAAAGGAATGAGAAATAACAAGTACTCATAGAACACAAAAATATATAAATAAATAAATAAGTAAATACTTACCTTAAATTATACGTAGTTCATTATCATCGTCAGTAATGGGTTCAGCAGAAACGTGAATTATAAACTGTATCCTCGTCAATACAGATCAATGAAAGTAAGACAACCATCGTCACCAACACACACACAATACACAGTTAAAACGGAACTAAAGGCGTTTTAGGAAGCACGGAATAGCTAACGCGTTATCTTTCCCGGGCTGTCATTAAAAAATACGAAATTGTACTAAGTCTTGGGAATAACTGTTGTACAACAGTCTTCAGAAAAAAAAAAGTTAGGAGAACTGTTATTTGGACACAATACAGAAAGAAATAGTGAAGAAAATATATAGAAAATTATGAAAAAAAAGACAAAAACGAAAAAGTCAATCGGTCAACAATAAATAAGAATAACAAAAAATCTGGCCCGTTGTAAAGGTTGGTGGTCCAGACTCCAAGGTGGGAGCTTTAAGCCGCACTACATACGCTCTTGTCTCGCTGCTACAGTGTTTACAGCTGTTCGCATACATAAACATGCAATACGACGAATTTCAGGTTCGTTATGTCTTAATTTTTACACTTACAGAACTGTAATAAACTTTTCACCCTTATTTATAGTATCTTATGAGTAATAATATTAAAGTTTTAATCATATTTGAGTAATTATCAATATTGTTACACCAAAGTCACCAACGGCTAATGAAATCGGACAGCACCCACGAAAAAGGGCGGAGCCCAAACAGGTTTCAACGAGGCGGAATCCTTTTCAATTCTTTTATGCATTACTCTTTGTTTTAGGTCCTATTCAATATACTGTACAGTACTACCGTATATATATATATATATATATATATATATATATATATATATATATATATATATATATATATATATATATATATATATATATATATATATATATATATATATATAATTATTTTTATTATTATATCAGTTTTTATTGCCTTAAATGTCTCCAACTCTTCAATATTAATCAAAATATTCTCCATAAGCGGCCATGATCCGCGTTATTTTCACAGGGAGAAATCGCTGATTGGTTGTTAGCTATTCGTGCCGCTTGGGCCCTGCGAAAGGCTAATCAGAGTTGCCAACTTAGCGACTTTGTAGCTAGATCTAGAGCTTTTTGTTTTTTTCTAGCGACATTTTAGAGCGATTTGCGACTTGTCGCAAATCTAGAGATATCCACAGAAATCTAGCGACTTTCTGGATACTTTTGGACTGTCCATGAAAACTCAAGTTTTCCTAATTTCGAGCCATAATATATAGCAACGGGGTTACAGGGACAATAAATAATAAGAAAAGTTTAATACATTTGAACGGGTTGTAGGGGTATCGAGATATTAATGTTGTCTAGCACTCAGGATGGAAGGAAACTCTCATGTGGTTTTCTTGTATAATATATAAGTTATATGATAGACAGTCTGGTGCTGGAGATGCCGTGTGGTGGGGAGCTGCTCAGTAGAAGACGTTCGGTGAGTAGCGTGTTGAAGGAGGTAGATGTGCAGGAGCTTCGTTAGAGAAGATGTTGCCTGTTGCTGGCCTCCTGGTTGAATAAACGTTAACAGCGTGGAGCTTGCTGGAGGAGGTGTTGCTTGTTCAGGAAGATGGGCAGAATGAATCTCAATGGAGAGACAGAGCTTATATACCCAGCAGCAGCCGCCAGTCCTCTATGAATCATGTTGGGAAAACCCAGAAAGTTGCCGGTGAGTAGTTTCGTTGCTAAGCAACCGTACCATCTGGCATCAGCTCTCTCTTGGTTGCTAGGAGACGCCAGCCCGTCGGAATGAGGTAACAGGTGGTGGCTGTGGCTACGCAGTTGTAAGCAGTTGTAGGGGAGACGTCCACTACAGGGTCGTGGTAAGGAAGGAGGGACACGTCTATTTCCTGTTCACTTGATGTCAGCTCGTCCATGGCTAATGTTGCCGTGTCGTCATTTATTTGTGTATTACCTTCGCCTTTGTAGCACCTGGGTAACTTACCTTTTTGTCAGATATACAATATGAATTTCATTAATACGCTAAATTTTAAAGAATATTAGCAAAACATCTTATAGAATTAATTCTATCAAGCCTGCGTGGTTCCAAACTTCTCATACGCGTCCACCATGGGTGACCCATAGACTCCATACCTGAGTTGCCCCGCAAGTCGACACTGTTCACCCGCTTTGCCAAAAACCACCAAGGAAAGTTTCCGCTTGTTTGCATGCTGTTTATTAATTTGAACCCTTCATAGTCCCAATAGAAAATGGGTAAGCCACAGTATTCGCAGCGATTTAGGAAGGAATGGCTCAGAGATGACAGATACAAAAATTGGCTTCTGGAGGTGCCAGGAGATAATAAAAAAGGATTTTGTAAATTTTGCAAGTGTACTTTGTCTGCTAAGTTGTGCGACATTGAAAAACACAAAAACAACTAAAAACACAAGAAAGCAGAAGAGCCGTTTAGTGCAGAAAGACAGACAATTTTACCATTCAAGAAACTTGGTGAAGCAAAAAAAGTGGAGGGAACTCTGGCCAAGTTTGTAGCTGAACATTGTTCTATTCGTGTGGTAGAACACTTAAGTGAAGTGTGTACAGTATGTTTTAGTGACAGCAAGGCAGGCAGTGAACTCAAGTTAAAAAGATCAAAGTGTTCTGGGATAATATGCAATATTCTTGCGCCACATTTCACAGAAAATCTGAAAAATGATATTTTTACATAATGCATTTTATTTATACTCCGTCCATTATAGTCGGCATTATGAAAATATTATTTGCATCAAATTACTGAAGGGGGGGAATAATAGCTAGCGACTTTCCATGGAAGATTTAGCGACATTTAGCTACTTTTAGGTACCAGCCTAGCGACATTTGAAAATCCGAGTTGGCAACTCTGAGGCTAATGCCTCATCGAGGTGTTAGCTAAAGTGTCATGCTCACAAATCAAAAGCAGCGTCTGCGCATACAGAATAACTAACACGTTAGCTATTCCGTGTACCGAAAACGCCTTACAATAACCGCCTTAAGTCTGGGGAGAATTCCAAAGACAAAAAAGTTCTCAACTCTGCCCGACCATAAAACTTTGTCATGATACTAATGTTTAGGTGATGTTTCTTTATTCTCTTTATGCCTTGTTACGTAAATATGCGTGTATATATTTGAGTAAGATTATATATTTCGCTTGTTTTTCGTATTTAAATTATTTTGTATATATTTAAAAACCTTAGGAATAGGCTGTACAATAGGCTTGGACTTGAGGCGGATAAAAAGACTGTCGTATATTGTGGTCTCCTTGACAATATGGCCAATGGAAGTAAATTTTCATAAATAAATAAATAATTAAATATATAAATAAAATCCCTATAACGTGAGAATTCGAATCTTGAGTGTGGGAGTGACGCAAGAACAGGAAACATCCCGCTTAATACGTAAGACTTTAAAAGTTGACTGTCATTTTGGACATAAAAGCGTTATATTCACTGGAAAAATCGAGTATGCAATTAACAGGTGTCTGATATTAGTAAGTGTGTACTATTAGCAGGTGTGTGGCATTAGTATGTGTGCACCATTAGCAGCCGTGTAAAAATAACAGATGTGTGCCATTAACAGGTGAGTGGCATTAGTAGACGTGTTCCATTAGCAGGTGTGTGACACTAACAGGTGTGTGCCACTAATAGGAGTGTGGCATTAACAGGTGTGTGGTGTAAGTGGCACGAGGACCCACACTTGCAGGAACAACGGGAGTTCTGTGACACATACGAAGGATACGTAACACTGTGTACCTGTGTCCACCCTGTCACCGCCTCCGTCAGACACTCCGCAGTGAGTCTACCTACCTCCCACTCACCTAACGCTATCCAGTTCGTGGTATTTTTCTAATATTATCCAATCATTTTGAACACCAATCATCCCTAACACACTTTAACTCATGATCCATTAACCTTACATATGACCTCTCACTGACCGAGCTCGCCCTCCTTGACCTCTTTTACATCCCCAGCCGGAGATCACGATGAACGAGATCATACCAGTTGCTATGCTCACAGCCATCAAGCCCTTCAACTTCTACAGGTCGGTGCTCAGTTGGCTTCAGCAAGTTTTGTATGTGTGTGTGTGTGTTAACAGCTACTCGTATATCCGTTACGTTTAACTTCTCCAGGTTTTCTATGTTTTGGTACCTTTATAATAATGTTTCCCTAGTGTGCGTTTGTAAAGATAAACTCTCTTGCAAGTAATAAGCAAAATCAATACTATTGGTGTACTATAACAATACTACAATTGTTTGTGTATTTATTTGGATAGCTACCCACCACCTATCCCTTTTGTGTATGAGAGTTAGTAAGACCTACTCATTTCATCCCCAGGCAGTTACTGAACCTTCTAGAGACGCCAGGAGCCGCCCAAACCCCTATCCTGGTGATGGTGGATGGTGCCAACACTGAGATCCTTCGTCTGGTGCGTCTCTTTGGGTGAGTCCGTGTGTGTGTGTTGGTGATGTTGTCATTGTATTCTGGCGTTGTTGTCATTGTAATCTGTTGATGTTGTCATTGTAATCTGTTGATGTTGTCATTGTAATCTGGCGATGTTATCATAGTAATCTGTTGATGTTGTCATTGTAATCTGGCGATGTTATCATAGTAATCTGTTGATGGTGTCATTGTAATCTGGTGGTGTTGTCATTGTAATCTGGCAATGTTGTCATTGTAATCTGATGATGTTGTCATTGTAATCTGGCGATGTTGTCATTGTAATCTGATGATGTTTTCATTGCAATCTGGTGATGTTGTTAATTGTAATCTGATGATGTTTTCATTGCAATCTGGTGATGTTGTCAATTGTAATCTGGCGATGTTGTCATAGTAATCTGTTGATGTTGTCATTGTAATCTGGTGATGTTGTCATTGTAATCTGGCGATGTCGTCATAGTAATCTGTTGATGTTGTCATTGTAAGCTGGTGATGTTGTCATTGTAATCTGATGATGTTGTCATTGTAATCAGGCGATGTTGTCATTGGAATCTGATGATGTTGTCATAGTAATGTGTTGATGTTGGCATTGTAATCTGGTGATGTTGTCATTGTAATCTGGCGATGTTGTCATAGATCTGGTGATGTTATCATTGTAATCTGGCGATGTTGTCATAGATCTGGTGATGTTATCATTGTAATCTGGTGATGTTGTCATTGTAATATGGTGATGTTATCATTGTAATCTGGTGATGTTGTCATTGTAATATGGTGATGTTATCATTGTAATCTGGTGATGTTGTCATTGTAATCTGGTGATGTTGTCATTGTAATCTGGTGATGTTGTCTGTTGGCATTGTAATCTGGTGATGTTGTTATTGTAATCTGGTGATGTCATAGTAATCTGTTGATGTTGTCATTGTAAACTGGCGATGCTGTCATTGTAGTCTGATGATGTTTTCATTGCAATCTGGCGATGTTGTCATAGTAATCTCTTGATGTTGTCATTGTAATCTGGTGATGATGTTATTGTAATCTGGCGATGTTGTCATTGTAATCTGGCGATGTTGTCTGGCGTAATCTGTTGTCAATGTTGTCAATTGTAATCTGGTGATGATGTGTCATTGTAATCTGGCGAGTGTTGTCAATCTGGCTGTTGTTGTCAATGTATCTATGCAATGTCAGTCATTGTCTGTTTGATGTCAGGTTGTCATTATAATCTGGCGGTGTTGTCAATTGTAATCTGGCAATGTCATAGTAATCTGTTGATGATGTCATTGTAATCTGGTGATGCTGTTATTGTAATATGGCAGTGTTCTCTATTCTGGCGATATTGTTATTGTGATCTGGTGATGTTTCCTCAGACTAGACGTGTTAGTACATCGACCACAGGGGGCACCTGGCACCACCACCCTTCTCAACATGCACTTCAGGTAACGACTGTATTGTACTTCAGGTAACGACTATATTATACGTCAGGTAACGACTGTATTGTACTTCAGGTAAAGACTGTATTGTACTTCAGGTAACGACTGTATTGCACTTCAGATCGCGACTGTATTGTACTTCAGGTAACGACTGTATTATACTCCAGGTAACGACTGTATTACACTTCACGTAACGACTGAATTGTACTTCAGGTAACGACTGTATTATACTTCAGGTAACGACTGTATTACACTTCAGGTCACGACTGTATTGTACTTCAGATAGCGACTGTATTGTACTTCAGGTAACGACTGTATTGTGCTTCAAGTAACGACTGTATTGTACTTTAGGTAGCGACTGTATTGTACTTCAGGTAACGACTGTATTGTACTTAAGGTAACGACTGTATTGTACTTCAGATCGCGACTGTATTGTACTTCAGGTAACGACTGTATTGTACTTCAAGTAACGACTGTATTGTACTTCAGATCGCGACTGTATTGTACTTCAGGTTACGACTGTATTGTACTTCAGGTAACGACTGTATTGTACTTCAGATCGCGACTGTATTGTACTTTAGGTAACGACTGTATTGTACTTCAGGTAACGACTGTATTATACTTCAAGTAACGACTGTATTGTGCTTCAGGTAACGACTGAATTATACTCCAGGTAACGACTGTATTACACTTCAGGTAACGACTGTATTGTACTTCAGGTAACGACTGTATTACACTTCAGATCGCGACTGTATTGTACTTCAGGTAACGACTGTATTACACTTCAGGTAACGACTGTATTGTACTTCAGATCGCGACTGTATTGTACGTCAGGTAACGACTGTATTATACTTCAGGTAACGACTGTATTGTACTTCAGGTAACGACTGTATTACACTTCAGATCGCGACTGTATTGTACTTCAGGTAACGACTGTATTACACTTCAGGTAACGACTGTATTGTACTTCAGATCGCGACTGTATTATACTCCAGGTAACGACTGTATTATACTCCAGGTAACGACTGTATTATACTTCAGATCGCGACTGTATTGTACTTCAGGTAACGACTGTATTATACTTCAGGTAACGACTGTATTACACTTCAGGTAACGACTGTATTGTACTTCAGGTAACGACTGTATTACACTTCAGGTAACGACTTTAATGTATTTCAGATAACGACTGTATTGTGCTTCAGGTAACGACTGTATTATACTCCAGGTAACGACTGTATTATACTTCAAGTAACGACTGTATTGTGCTTCAGGTAACGACTGTATTATACTCCAGGTAACGACTGTATTACACTTCAGGTAACGACTGTATTGTACTTCAGGTAACGACTGTATTACACTTCAGATCGCGACTGTATTGTACTTCAGGTAACGACTGTATTATACTTCAGGTAACGACTGTATTACACTTCAGGTAACGACTGTATTGTACTTCAGGTAACGACTGTATAGCACTTCAGGTAACGACTTTAATGTATTTCAGATAACGACTGTATTGTACTTCAAGTAACGACTGTATTGTACTTCAGGTAACGACTGTATTGTACTTCAGGTAACGACTGTATTGTACTTCAGATAGCGACTGTATTGTACTTCAGGTAACGACTGTAATACACTTTAGGTAACGACTGTATTGTACTTTAGGTAGCGACTGTATTGTACTTCAGGTAACGACTGTATTGTACTTCAGGTAACGACTGTATTGAACTTCAGGTAACGACTGTATTGTACTTTAGGTAGCGACTGTATTGTACTTCAGGTAACGACTGTATTGTACTTCAGGTAACGACTATATTGTACTTCAGGTAACGACTGTATTGTACTTCAGGTAACGACTGTATTACACTCCAGGTAACGACTGTATTACACTTCAGGTAACGACTGTATTACACTTTAGGTAACGACTGTATTGTACTTCAGGTAACGACTGTATTGTACTTCAGGTAACGACTGTATTGTACTTCAGGTAACGACTGTATTATACTTCAGGTAACGACTGTATTACACTTCAGGTAACGACTGTATTGTACTTCAGATCGCGATTGTATTGTACTTCAGATAACGACTGTATTGCACTTCAGGTAACGACTGTATTATACATCAGGTAACGACTGTATTGTACTTCATGTAACGACTGTATTATACTTCTGGTAACGACTGTATTGTACTTCAGGTTACGACTGTATTGTACTCAGGTAACGACTGTATTGTACTCAGATCGCGACTGTATTAACTTCAGGTAACGATTGTATTGTACTTCAGGTAACGACTGTATTATACTTCAGGTAACGACTGTATTGTACTTCAGGTAACGACTGTATTGTACTTCAGGTAACGACTGTATTGTACTTCAGGTAACGACTGTATTATACTTCAGGTAACGACTGTATTGTACTTCAGGTTACGACTGTATTGTACTTCAGATCCCGACTGTATTGTACTTCAGGTAACGACTGTATTGAACTTCAGGTAACGACTGTATTGTACTTCAGGTAACGACTGTATTATACTTCAGGTAACGACTGTATTACACTTCAGGTAACGACTGTATTGTACTTCAGGTAACGACTGTATAGCACTTCAGGTAACGACTTTAATGTATTTCAGATAACGACTGTATTGTACTTCAAGTAACGACTGTATTGTACTTCAGATAACGACTGTATTGTACTTCAGGTAACGACTGTATTACACTCCAGTTAACGACTGTATTGTACATCAGATAACGACTGTATTGTACTTCAGGTAACGACTGTATTGTACTTCAGGTAACGACTGTATTGTACTTCAGGTAACGACTGTATTACACTTCAGGTAACGACTGTATTACACTTCAGGTAACGACTGTATTGTACTTCAGGTAACGACTGTATTTTACTTCAGGTAACGACTGTATTACACTCCAGGTAACGACTGTATTACACTTCAGGTAACGACTGTATTACACTTCAGGTAACGACTGTATTAC